GAAAGCTGAGCACTGAAGAATTGCTGCTTTTGAACTGTGGTGTTGGAGAAGACTCTTGAGAGTCCCTTGGACTGCAAGGAGATCCAACCAGTCCATCCTAAAGGAAATCAGTCCTGGATGTTCATTGGAAGGACTGCTGTTGAAGCTGAAACTCCAATACTTTGGCCACCTGATGCGAAGAGCTGACTTATTGAAAAAGACCCTGATTCTGGGAGGGATCAGGGACAGGAGGAGAAGGGGACGACAGAGAAGGAGATGGCTGGATGGCATCACCGACTTGATGGACATGAGTTTAAGTAAACTCTGGGAGTTGGTGATGGATAGGGAGGTCTGGCGTGCTGCGATTCATGGGGTCGCAAAGAGTCAGACACAACTGAGCGACTGAACTGAACTGAAGCTTAATTAGATGCAAGGCATGGCAACCGTTTGACAACACCTATAAAATCTCGACGACTTGTGTTTCATATATCTTTTTAAGACTAGCTGAGTTCTTAAACTATCACTTTAATGTAGAACGGTTGACATTTATCACATTTGGTGGTATTTGTTAAGCTTAAACAAAGTAGTAACTATAAGGATCACACATTCAAATTACCGCAGAGTATTTTTATCTATGATACCGTTTAAGAAGTTGACAGAGTGGGACAGAGGCTCCATTAGATATTCATTAGCTTTCATTGAAAATCATATTTATACAGATTGGCATAAAGATATCAAAACTGTCTTATCAAGGAATTAGTGAAATCTATCAGTATTTTTTTTATTATTAAATACTTTTACAATTAGCATTGGGATTCTTATCAGACAATATGATTGATGTGTCTGATAATATTGATCTGGTCGTTTAAAACCTCAGTAAGCTCTTGGTGGACTTCCCAGGTGACTCAGCTTAAAGAATCCTCCTGTGAATGCTGGAGTTGGGGAAGATGTGGGTTTGATCCCTGCCTTGGGAGGATCCCCTGGAGGAGGAAATGGCAGCCCACTCCAGTGTTCTTGCCTGAAAATTGTATGGACAGAGGAGCCTGGCAGGTTGCAGTCCATGTAGTTGCACAGAGTCAGACACAACCGAGCGACTGAGCGTGCACACACACACATGCGCGCATGCACATACACGCACGCATGCAGACATGCACGCATGCACACACACACACAAGCTCTCGCTGAAGCCAAGTATTTTACTGAAATACGCGTCCCCGCTTCCTTCTTATCTTCCAGTTAAATTAATTTGTACTTCACCAGTATTATTTTCAGGCTGCCAAAAACCTCTTCAACTGAGCCTCAACAGTCTCAATTCAACAAGAATGAACAAAAATGTTGTTCAGTTTTTCATCAGCAGTTATAGCTGAACAACTTATGAGCCCAATTAGCCTACATCTTATTCACTCAGGTGTCCAGTTGCATATTATTAACCAACTAGACAGCAACAGATTCTAATTGACGGCCAGGGGTGGGGAGTTAATGTAGGGAAAATGTTTAAATATTTTAACTTACACAGTTTAGGTCAGGGAAGTCTTTCCACTTTGGTTTTTTTTTTTTTTTTTTTAATTGTATACTAGAATACAGGTGATTTATAATGTCATGTTTGTGTTGGGTGTACAGCCACCTGATTCAGTTATACATATGCATATATATATTATTTGGATTC